CCACCAAAAATGGGGAAATTTCACCCAAAAATCGGCTCCAAAATCATCCAAAAATCACCAAAAAACCCACCAAAAATCGGCTCCGAAATCGCCCACAAATCACCAAAAAAACCACCAAAAATCGAGAAATTTCACCCAAAAATCGGCGCCGAAATCGCCCAAAAATCACCAAAAAAACCACCAAAAATCAGCGCCAAAATCGCCCAAAAATCGGCAAAAAAACCACCAAAAATCGAGAAATTTCACCCAAAAATCGGCTCCAAAATCACCCAAAAATCACCAAAAAACCACCAAAAATCGGCTCCAAAATCACCCAAAAATCACAAAAAAACCCACCAAAAATGGGCAAATTCCACCCAAAAATCGGCGCCGAAATCGCCCCAAAATCACCAAAAAAACCACCAAAAATCGGCGCCAGAATCACCCAAAAATCACCAAAAAACCCACCAAAAATGGGCAAATTTCACCCAAAAATCGGCGCCGAAATCGCCAAAAAATCACCAAAAAAACCACCAAAAATCGAGAAATTTAACCCAAAAATCAGCTCCGAAATAACCCAAAAATCACCAAAAAAACCACCAAAAATCGAGAAATTTCACCCAAAAATCGGCTCCGAAATCACCCAAAAATCACCAAAAAAACCACCAAAAATGGGCAAATTTCACCCAAAAATCGGCGCCGAAATCACCCAAAAATCACCAAAAAAACCACCAAAAATGAGGAAATTTCACCCAAAAATCGGCACCGAAATCGGCCAAAAATCACCAAAATTCACCCAAAAATGGGGAAATTTCACCCAAAAATCGGCTCCGAAATCGCCCAAAAATCAGCAAAATTAATCCAAAAATCGGCTCCAAAATCGCCCAAAAATCAGCAAATTCACCCAAAAATCAGCTCAGAAATCAGCCAAAAATTGGCAAAAACTACCAAAATTCGGCTCTAAAATTTATCCAAAATTCGGCTCTAAAATTGCCCAAAAATCACCAAAAAAACCACCAAAAATTGGGAAATTTCACCCAAAAATCGGCTCCAAAATCTCCCAAAAATCGGGAAATTTCACCCAAAAATCGGCTCCAAAATCGCCCAAAAATCGGGAAATTTAACCCAAAAATCGGCTCTGAAATCAGCCAAAAAATCCCCAAGAAATCACAAACAAAACCCCAAAATTCACCCTAAAAACCCCAAAATAGCCCCAAATTTCCCCAAAATTCCCAAATTTTACCACAAATTCCCCTCAAAATGTCCCAAAATTCCCCCAAATCCCCCAATTTTTCTCCCCAAAAATTCCCCAAATCTTCCCCCACATTTTCCCCAAAATCTCCCCAAATTCCCCCAAAATTCCCCGAATTTCCCCAAATTTTGCCAAAATACCCAAAATTTTCAAAATTTTCCCCAAATTCTCCCGAATTTTCCCAAATATCCCTGAAATTCCCCCAATATCCCCAAAATTTCCCCCAAATCCCCCAAATTTCCCCCAATTCTCCCCAAATTTCCCCCAAATCCCCCAAATTTCCCCCAATTCTCCCCAAATTTTCCCAAATTTCCCCAAAACACCCCAAAATCCCTGAAATTTTCCAAATTTTCCCCAAAATTCCCAAATTTCCCTCAAAACCCCCCAAATTTTCCCCAATTCTCCCAAAACTTCGCCTAAATTTCCTCAAATTTCCCCAAATTTCACCCAAAATCCCCCAAATTTCCCCAATTCTCCCCAAATTCCTCCCAAACTCTCCCCAAATTTCCCCCCAAAAATCCCAAAAAATCCCAGAAATTTTCCAAATTTTCCCCCCCATTTTCCCCAAATTTCCCGCAAAATCCCCCAAATTTTCCCTCAATTTCTCCCGATTTTCCCAAAATTCCCCCAAATTCCCCCCGAATCCCCAAAATTTCCCAAAATTTCCCAAAATTTCCCAAATTTTCCCCAAATCCCGCTGGGTACCGGGGCGGGGCCGGGGGGGGCTCAGCACGGCCCAGTCGGGCTCGAAGCCGGGGTCGGGCGGCTCCTGGGAAAATTCGGGAATTTTGGGGGAAATTTGGGGAATTTTGGGGAATTTTGGGAGAATTTGGAGATTTGGAGGGAATTTCAGGGAAAATTGGGGGAATTTTAGGGCGGGATTT